GAACGAACCGTTTAGAAATCATTGGCAAATGACTCTAATATTAGATGTATATTCTGAGAAAATTACAATGTTTTCTGACCTTAGATGCATTTAAACCTGTTGTAGGGGACTCCAACACAGTATTAGGACACTTTGAAATACCATATGACCTGCTCTTTAAATAATGTCCAGGCTAATCCATGCTTTATAATGGGAGTGGATGGTAGCCCAAAATTTGAAGTCCAAAAAATTGCATACATCCATTATAAAAGAAGTCCACACGGCTCTGGGGGGTTAATAAAGGCCTATTGAAGCAATGCGATGCGTTTGTTTTTATTTTTGGGTGAACTATCCCTTTAAACACATGCTAAACTAATTCTCTTTGACAGTATGATACAGATAATACTTTTATTTTAAAACATTTAAAAATATATATTTTTTAACTACTTTGTGGTGCATGTGTTCACAGAAAATAAGCCGAAACCCTCTCCACAGCAAGAACCTGCCCAAAAGACGCAAACAGAAAACAGCAACAGGTAATTCAAAGGACTTTCATTAAAGATTTGAAAAGTAAAAACTTGCTTTCCAGTCTGTGAAAAAGCACAATATCCTGTTGAATTGTAATTTTGTTGTGAAAATGCTTTATCAGTTTAATATGCAACTAAAAGTAAGATATTTGATTTTATTTGCCTGAAAATAAATGAAATGTGGATCTGCGTATTAGAGCGTTACTCTGTTTGTTTTGGGCAACACTGACACAACCAATGCCATGTGTTTTAGGTGCTATTATTTTGCTCTGGATACATTTTTGAGAAATTCACTATTTTTGCATTTCCATTTGTTGATGCTAGAGCAGAAATTGCACACTGCAGCTTTCAATGTGTTGTTGAAATGATGTTCTCAAAAGAATTCATGTCATTAGAGTACCATCTGCTCTATGAGTCTAGTCTATTCTCGAGTCTAGAAATCATTCTATAGAAAAGCTGTTTAACATCTATGAGTTAAACCCTTTCTGTTGACATTTCATGGCAAGTTCTAGTGTTGAACCTGGAGCAGAACAGAAGAAAGAGGTCACAACCAGCCCCAAACCTGCTAGTACAGCAGCACAGTCCGTCAATGCAAGTCATTTATATCCTAATAAACTTTGTGTATTTGCTTGGGTTAATTTATCCCCCATCACCGTTTGGATTAATTCATAATAATTTCCTTGTGTTTCTTTCTTTTTAGTTTATTAACTTACAGACTTTGTGTTAAATAAATGAATACCATGTTACAACTATGAGATTGTTTTGGTATAAACAGTTAAACCTAGAAAAGAATACAACATGCCCATCATTATTTTACATTGGAGCATTGGTGCTCATTAGCATTTAGTGATGGCTGTTTTTGTGCTTTACAGGATGCTGGTCAGAAGGCGTTTGGTGCGGTGACGTGTAACGTTTGTGGGATGCTGCACTCTCCTTCCAGCCCAGAGGACGAATCCCAACACCTCCTCTTCCACAACCAGTTCATCAGTGCTGTCAGATATGTGGTGAGTCAAGAGAGAAACTGTTGCATCTTATCCACATACTTATTATTATGTGATTCAAAGTTACTTACCATTCCATAAAGATGTTGTTTTAGTCAGTCAGAAAATATAAAAAATATGAAATATTAATGTAGAATTAAAAATTATATATATATAATTTTTCAATCTTAATATAAAATGTGATTAATATTTTTACACATTAAATGTACATGTATTAACAAATTAATCACACATTGTTCTGTAATTAATCACAATTAATTGCACTTAAAATTTGAATTTGTTATCATAAATACATTTTCACAGTGACTTCAAATTCATTTAGAAACAATATTAGACATTATATTTCCAATACTTGTTAAATGGCATCTTTTTACTGTTTTTGGGATAAAATAAGTAAATTTAGCCATTCAACATTACAATAAAGTTGTGTACAAAACATTACAACTTTTACAAAAATTATAACCATTACCGCATTTAGCTGTGCCTTTAATATAGTGTGTTGTATATAGTGTAATATTTGAGAGACACAATTATGTGTTGCTTAATTTCCAGTTTAGGATGAGGTTTACAATCTCAAAATAACTACATACCCATGTCTCAAAAGCTTTATTGTAATATCTGGTCCAGGGCTGGAAGAAAGAGAGAATCCTGGGAGAGTATCCTGATGGCAAGATTATTCTTGTTCTCCCTGATGATCCTAAGTATGCACTGAAAAAGGTACTTGTTTCGAGATTTCTAATAGCTTTCCTGATACATATGATGCCTGTTTCTAATATTTGTCTTGTTTGATTTGAGGTTGAGGAGATCAGAGAAATGGTGGACAATGACTTGGGCTTCCAGCAAGTGGAAACCAAGATCCCGTCACAGACCAAAACCTTCCTCTTCATTTCAAATGATAAGAAAGTCGCTGGCTGCCTTATCGCCGAGCACATACAAGAGGTCAGCTGAGCATACAGGTGTTTAATAGCATGTTTATAGGTGTATATCTTGCATTTTATCATCTTAAATTCATTGCCATATTTTTTAGAAACCAATAGGAGTACAATACTCTAAGCTCATTTAATATACTTTATTATATTTTACATTATTTAAATCCATTTATCAGAATTCCACTGGTTTTCTCTCTCAATTAGCACAGAAAATGTGAAAAACTTGCATATTCCAAATTGACTTTTTGACAACTAATTGAAGTCATTGTAAGTTGCTATGTCTTTGTGTAATGTTCATCTTAGTCTGTACATCTGATGGGTTTGTTTTGGCTGTGGTGTGCAGGGATACAGGGTTATAGAAGAGTCCGGGCTGGAGGGTTCAGAAGGAGAGAAGGTCATGTACGAGCGTCAGAGGGCCTGGTGCTGCTCTACTGTACCTGAGCCGGCGCTCTGTGGCATCAGTCGCATTTGGGTGTTCAGCATGATGAGACGGAGAGGCATCGCCTCACGCATGATCGAGTGCCTCAGGTAAAGGGTTGAATTTTTTTTATGAGTAATTGTAAGCACATATATAATGTGTTATGTAAATATTGGTAGTTATAATGCATTAAAACACAACAACTACTTTCATACTGTCAAAGGTGTAAATGTACCATTTTAATGCAATTATTTATGAAAATAATTATATTAAAATAAGTTAGGATTTTTTTAAATAAATTAATTATTTTATTCAGTAAGGATGCATTAGATGTATCAAATGTGACAGTAAAGACAATTGTAATGTAACAATTCTATTTCAAATAAATGCTGTTCTTTTGAACTTTCTATTCAACAAAAAATCATGAAAAAATGTATCACTGTTTCCACAAAAATGCTATGCAGCACAAGTGTGTTCAGCAGTGATATTAATAATAAACATTTATTGAGCACCAAATTAGCATATCAGAATAAAAATTCAGCTTTGCCATAATATATTAAAATGTTTTATTATTTAAATTGATAAGCATTTCAAAACGTTACTGTTTTTTCTGCCTTTTTAGGCTTTTTTTCTGTAATTGTGAGCATAAAAATGTGTGTGTATATATATATATATATATATATTTAAAAATCCTCAGATTTCTACAGATCTACAAATCTTTCTACAGATTTCAAGAAAGTAAAGTGTTACAATAATGCATAAATGTTTACTCCTCTTTTCCTCCAGGAATAATTTCATCTATGGGTCTCATCTAAGTAAAGACGAAATCGCCTTCTCCGATCCCACGCCTGACGGCAAACTCTTCGCAACGCATTACTGTGGAACCTCTCAGTTTTTGGTCTACAACTTTGTAAGCGGCAATCGCTCAACCTGACAGGATGTGGACATAGAGCTCAGTTTTAAAATATTGACATTTGAGAAGAGGACTGGACTTAGAAGACTTTATTTCACTGTACCAAACAGTGCAAAAATGAAGTGAGAGAACAGAAACCGTCAAACCATAGGGTGTTTTTAAAGGCTCTTTTTCTTCAGAGTCTTGGTTTGAATTGGCAAAGTTTGGCACAGGAGGTGTAGGATGTTAGACACTGATATCTAACCCTCACGGCCAGTTAATAAGCCTGCACAGTAGCTTATGCCTGATGCATCGTTCAATGAAAGACATCTAAACTGTTCTCTCAGGTTTAGGTTGCAGCCTATTTTAGGACTCGCCGTTTAAGTGCAAGCCATGTAGTCCAGTGCACAATTGCAAAATCAGTGTAAGTACTTCTTCCTAGAACATATAGGAAGACGTGTGAACTTTTCTACTGTAAGCAATGCCTCGGTCGTGAGGCGACGACTTTTGAATCTCAGGTTGAAAAACATCATATGAATTTGTCATGGAAATCTCCCGTTAACCCTTACATCATCTCAGCTATTTTCAAAGAGAGAGTATTTTGCTGATACAGTGTGTTCCATGTGCATTTTAAAGGGGTCCTATTATGCTCTTTTACAAAGTCTTGATTTTGTTTTGGGGGTGTACTAGAACAGGCTCTCATACTAGGTTGTTCGAAAAACACATTATTTTTTCACATATTTTACATTATTACAACACCTCTCTCCCCAGTCTGGCATGAACGGCTCGAATAGTTCCTGTATCAAATGAAGGCCCGTCTTCTGATATACAAAATGTGTTGTGATTGGTTAGCTGGGCCAGTGTGTGTTGGGATTGTCACCTAGTCGGGAAATGTCATGCCCCTTATAATAGCCGCCTGCGAGCTTCAGTGTAAATATTGCTCAAAATCAAATCAATTTGAGCGCGATTTAAACCCGGACGATTGTAACACTCTTAAGTTCGTCTGCTTTGGGAAAGCTAGCGTGTCTCCGACATAGTGATAACACTCGTTGCCTTCTCTAGTGCAGCTCAACCAGGTCTCGTCCCATTCGTCGATATTTGTGATATCACAAATCCCGGAAAATATGCGTTGTAGTCCAAACGAGTCGTTCGTTGTAGTTTTTGAAAAGTGATTTCTGTTAAATAAAATATCTCCTTTTGAATTGGACTTTGAGCTTTGTAACTTTGCAGATCTTTTTTATGCTCAGACAGCAACATTACAGACTAACTAAAGTTGAAAAAGTGAAAAAGCATAATAGGACCCCTTTAAAGAGGTTTACATGCTTGGCATTGACATGATAGACAGCAGATGATTTCAAAGAAGTCGCTGGTTTTGCACAACACTGTGCGGAATGAATTTGATTCGTTTGTTTTTAAAACACAAGTGTAATAATTCAGAAAGTTTGCCCGCTCATAGTATTCCATCTAATTTTAATATTTTTTAGAATGATTTTATGTATGTATATGTATTTTGATTGAATTATATTAATTTACCCATGAAAATGACTACAGATAGATCTTTCTTTATCTTCGACAGCAGGACAAAAGCTTAAAATCACTCCAGCCAAAACTTTGATTTGTTCTTTTTCATTTTTATTTGAATTACAATTTAGTTCTCTGCTATTACCAACTTTAGAAGCCAGATGATTGGCATGATTTTATACAGTATTTGTAAATGGGATGTTTGCTCATTCTTTACAAACAGTGATGAAAAACAGCTTACATTTGTTACTCATACAATATAATGTTTTAACCCTATAGTAGGAAACAAATGACTGACCTGAAACGAATGGCCTGAATTTGTATTTTAACCAATTTCATCACTTGAATTTCAAAAGTGGAATTATGTATGCATGTACATAAGTTGTTTTCATCTTTGGCATAATACACGAGGTCTCAACAATGCTGAAGAATCAGGTACAAACCTTTTTCCTGTTTTTCTAACTTTGTACTAATTTTTCTCCCCTCTTTTGGACGACATGCCTATTGACTTTTAATTGTCCTATTAAAATATAGAAACTCTTATTATGAAATATCGCACTTCCGGTGGACGTTAAAGGGAGCGATCACACAGCTCGCATGTTGCTGTGGAAGATGCAGTTTACGTTCTAAAGCGTTTAGTCTGGTGTAATATATAGGTACAACAGATTTATTAACATAATTAAATATTAATGAGGGACAGGCCGTGTGTAACTGTATGAACACGTGTTTTACAGTCATGGGGGATCACGTCGAGTTGGTCGCTGGCTGTTGTGAGCAGATAGTATTTGGATATCGTGTCCTGGTGATGAGGTAATTATCATTTTTCAAAACTTGAATTCTGTTAATTGATAGAATCTTCATTTGTTTTCATAGTGAATATTAAATGTAGTTTTTTTTCAGTCTGCATTTGCATTGTCATCAAACTGTCATAATTTTACAAACAGACCTATTATTATTATTATAATAACTTGCTCTAATAATTATTTAGACTTTATTTTAAATATAATCTTAATTCTAAAGTTTTTTTTATGTCTGTTTTAGGAGTGGGCAATTGAGCCCAACTTTACCCATCATGCACACACAGCATCTAGTGGAATTATGTATGCATGTACATAAGTTGTTTTCATCTTTGGCATAATACACGAGGTCTCAACAATGCTGAAGAATCAGGTACAAACCTTTTTCCTGTTTTTCTAACTTTGTACTAATTTTTCTCCCCTCTTTTGGACGACATGCCTATTGACTTTTAATTGTCCTATTAAAATATAGAAACTCTTATTATGAAATATCGCACTTCCGGTGGACGTTAAAGGGAGCGATCACACAGCTCGCATGTTGCTGTGGAAGATGCAGTTTACGTTCTAAAGCGTTTAGTCTGGTGTAATATATAGGTACAACAGATTTATTAACATAATTAAATATTAATGAGGGACAGGCCGTGTGTAACTGTATGAACACGTGTTTTACAGTCATGGGGGATCACGTCGAGTTGGTCGCTGGCTGTTGTGAGCAGATAGTATTTGGATATCGTGTCCTGGTGATTAGGTAATTATCATTTTTCAAAACTTGAATTCTGTTAATTGATAGAATCTTCATTTGTTTTCATAGTGAATATTAAATGTAGTTTTTTTTCAGTCTGCATTTGCATTGTCATCAAACTGTCATAATTTTACAAACAGACCTATTATTATTATAATAACTTGCTCTAATAATTATTTAGACTTTATTTTAAATATAATCTTAATTCTAAAGTTTTTTTTATGTCTGTTTTAGGAGTGGGCAATTGAGCCCAACTTTACCCATCATGCACACACAGCATCATGTTTCTTGAGCAGCAAATCAGCATATTAGAATGATTTCTGAAGAGTCATGTGACACTGAAGACTAATGATGCTGAAAATTCAGCTTTTCATAACAGGAATCAATTACATTTTAAAATATATTTAAATAGAAAACGGTTATTTTAAATTGTAAAATTATTTCACAATATTACTGTATTTTTTTGAATAAATGCAACCATGGTGAAACTTGCAAAAATGTTAAGAATCCTGCTGACCCCAAATGCCTATCCAGTGTATTTATTTGTTTAGGGGTCATGTTACTTCACTGTCTGTACACCCTTCTGGAAAACTCGCACTCTCTGTCGGAACAGACAAGACTCTGCGGCAAGTACACAGATGTTAACATGAATATCAAAAGTCCTGGTCAGATTGATTGTTAAGCTGTAAATTAAGTTAAGCTGTTTTAATTTGTGTATGAATGGTAATAAATATCACTGGGCTTGGTTTGCGGTTCAACAAAACTATAGTTTTAATGACAAAATGTAATATTATTGTAGAACATGGAATCTCATTGAAGGACGTTCAGCTTTCATCAAGAATCTTAAACAGAGTAAGTGAGATTATAATAAGATATACTTTCTGATTCTGTATTTTCCTTGTTTTTCCTTGTTTTCTAAATGATTTGATAGAATAATTGTATTATATTGAGAAAATTAAACTTCTCAGTTAAATCAAAACTTGTGTGTTTTGTAGATGCAGAGATCGTCTTGTGGTCACCAGACGGAGATCAGTATGCAGTGGTTGGGAATGATCGAGTGGACATTTACATTCTAAAATCTGCCACAATTACTGGAACCATTGCATTCACACAAAGGATTTCATGTGTGAAGTTCCTGAAGGTGATCAGTCTTATCGGTGTCGCAAGAGAACAGATATGTCTATTAAGTCAGTTCTAGTTTAACTTGCAATTAAAATGTTGCTTCCTTGGTTTGTCAAATGTAATGTGTTCAATTGATTCTACTGCAAAGAAATCTTATTCCAGCCTCTGTTCTGCATGTCTCTTCAAGAACACACTCTTGGCTGTGGGAGGAGACGATGAGAGCGTGCGTATCTATGAGAACAGGTATGACCGCCACTTTTTAACCTTTCTTTAAGGCTGCATCCTAATCCAAGTGAATCGGCCATTTCTAGGTCTGTCTTTTCATCAAAATTGTTCTAGTGCATTGAAATACTCAGAATGCGTTGTAAAATGAGTGAGATGAGTGGGGAAGTCGTGGCCTAATGGTTAGAGAGTCGGACTCATAACCCAAAGGTTGTGGGTTCGAGTCTCGTACCGGCAGGGGTTGGAGGGGGGGGGGGGGAATGGACAGCGCTCTCTCCCACCTTCCATACCACGACTGAGGTGCCCTTGAGCAAGGCACCGAACCCCCAACTGCTCCCCGGGCGCCGCAGCATAAATGGCTGCCCACTGCTCCGGGTGTGTGTTCACGGTTTGTGTGTGTTCACTGCTGTGTGTGTGCACTTTGGATGGTTAAATGCAGAGCACTAATTCTGAGTATGTGTCACCATACTTGGCCACATGTCACTTCAGATAAGCTGTATTTGTTATTGTATTCATTTTAGGGATGTTCATTTTAACCGTTTAACCAAATTTTGACCGATTAATACAATCAGTTAAACGTTTTAAAAAGTAATTTAATTATTTATTTTTTCAGTAATTTATCAAAATATTTAAAATGGTTTGCTGCATGGTAAAAATACGCTACGCGTATAAAAAATTTGTTTTTTAGAGAAACAAAAAAAAAACCCAAGTCGCATTTTATTATTTCATTCAGAAATAGACCTAATGCCGACGCGAAATGTTTACAAACATTATAATAAACACTGTAAACATAGCTAGTGTTAGTTCCCCTCACTCCACAACAAATCCTTTCAATTAACAGTATTTAGAAAAGAATTAAAGAATTAAAAATATAAGAAGCTATAGCAATATAAATGGCAAGCCAAAACGAATTCATTTAGGTTAAAACGAAACTGAAACAACGTTGGGTCTCTCATTCCACACAAAATCAAATGTTACCGTATTCGCGTTGTATTTGAATGGCAAATTATTATTTATTATGTACTTCACTCGCGTTCCAATGTAATCCACATAAAACAAAATGTTTTACATCGCAGCGGTACAGTGATAACACTTAACCTTAACGGCTTAACAGATTTTACTACATATTTTTTTTTACAAATTTTTTTTTTCATATGTTTGACTGACTATTTTATTATGATAATGAACAGGCTGCATTGTCAAGGTAGCAATGTTTAACTGTGTGCGCGCATGTGGCACCGACGCAATTACTTGAATTTTTTCCTTCTAACAGTTGAAGAAACTACTCCTTTTAGTCCTAAAGATAATCGGAATTGTAAAAGGTTTGCCTTTATTTGTGTACATTCACAATAAAAACAAATCTATGTGCTTTTGTAAAATAAACCTAAAAATAGGATGCCGCTTTCTGCCGTCTGTTTCCTTTCGCGCAGCACAAAAATAAACTGAAACTCTGCATACTAGGCTACTTGTTTTTCTTACATTTTCTTAATTTATAATTTACGTAAAAATGTTTCTTGTATAGGCCTATTTATTTGTTTTATGTATATATATATATATATATATATATATATATAGCCTAGCTTTATTATGTTTTTCTCCTCGCAGAAGCGCTGCAGGTGCGTGATGTGATATGATGGCCATGTGAATCCTCATGTTCTGTTGTTTGCTGCTTTTTGCGCATGTAAAATGAATCCCCGGGAAACAAATGTTAGTATTTTTAACGGGTCACAGACACTTATCCTTTCTGAATTTAATTCAGTTCTAATTTAAAATAATCTTGTCGGTTAACAATCGGTTAACAAGCGTCGGTTAGGAAAAATAACCGAAATGAACATCCCTAATTCATTTAATGTTTTTTTCCCCCCCAGAGTAAAAGCCATTGAGACCTTCATGAAGGATGATTTTTGTGTCCTTGTTACAGCATCAAATGATGGATTCATTAAGTTGTGGAAACTCAATCTTGAGGTATTGTATGATCTTCTTTGCTAGTAACTGTAACACACAGACACAAGTGATTTTTTTTAACCTTGAGCTGAACCATTTTAGACATAAAAATAATTTGGCCTGATGGTTTCATTTTGGTTGATCAGTATTTTATACTCACTCTTTCCACATACAGAACCTTGAGACTCCTTCCCTGCTTGGCCAGGTGAACACCACTGCCAGACTCACCTGTCTTTCCATCTGGAAACCTGGTGAAGCGAAAGAGACGAGTACTGAACAATCTGCCCAGCCTGAAGCTTCTATAGGTGCGGTTACATTTATCAGGGTTTCAGCCGATTTTCACAGGCAAAATCCAGTCGTTTCAATAGGAATCCATCCTAGTGGGAATTTCGAGATTTTGCAACAGGTTCAAGTTGGTCACATGAATTTAATGCTTTGACCGACAGAAAGCTGCTTGGTTTGAGAGTGACTTCTGTGTGAGCTTGACAATATAGACCTTTTTAGTCTGCGAAATATAGCTGAAAATTCACTAATGTGATCTCACCTTAAAGGGATAGTTCACCCAAAAATGAAAAGTCATTGAAAAGTTATTTACTCACCATCAATTTGTTCCAAACCTGTATGAGTCTCTTTCTTTCAAAAGCAGATATTTTGAAGAATGCTGGTAACCAAACAGTTGCTGGTAGCCATTGACTTTCATAACATTATTTTGTCTACCGGCAGCTGTCTGGTTACCAACATTCTTCAAAACATCGCTGTGTCCGAAATCGCCCCCTATACCCTTAAATAGGGCATATATATATATATATATATATATATATACACACACACACAATGTATTAAAATGAATAAGGATCATAGATGACATTAATGGGATTTGATTTTATATTTGAAGGCACTTCTGGATCACTGACTGCTCTAATGGGAGTGAGATTTTTGAGTTCATGGAAGATTATGCCAGCTGGACTCATGGCAGGAGCGAGGCAGGGATATTTTATTTGAGCTGTTATTTATATATTATGTATGATTTTTTTATTCATTCCAAATTTTTCATTTGAAAAAGACTTCCCAGATATACATAATGTTGATATACAGGCAAAAAAATACAATATTGACATATGCTGTAATTGACATTAACATGGACAAATGCATTGTTTTGGTTGTTGAATTATGTTTTGTTGCTTGTCTTTGCAGTTTGTTGATGTTCCTGAGGATTGGTGTGAAAGTGCTACAGAATTCACAAAAGAAGAAACGATGACACCATTCAGAAACTGTACTTGCAGATCCTGCGGAGATGCACTGACACAGATAGATAGATATATATATACTGACATGTGTAGACATTTCATACAAGTTGTATGAAGAAGACAACTAAATCCAGTTTAGGGTCATATGGAAGTGCCTTCATAACTGTAGAAGAACAAATTAAAGCAAATAAAATGTATTACTTTATTGAGATTCAAATAGTTGTTGATTTATGTACGCTACATATTTACACATTACAGATGATATCCATATTCACCATCTTGGGTAATTGTTAATTCCTCAAAAATATTTAGTAATATCATGTACAGATCTGTAACTCTTATCTAAAAGTTTTATAACCCAAGACATAATTAATACAGCGTATTGTTAGTCACAGACTGAGATGTATTTGCTTTGACCTATAGAGGGCCCCAAAATCTTTAAATAAAACCAGTATTTTTAGACCACACAAATGGCTGTTCTTTTTACAGCATATAAAGATGTATCACATTTGACACGTTTTGGCATAGAGGAGAAACAATAATATACAGTATGTGGAAAATAAGTTTTTTAACCTTAAACCGCATAAACACATTTTATTACACCAAATACACAAAATAATGTTCTTTTTAGCAACATATGACCCCTTTAAAACATATTCTCACTACAAATCACATGCGTGTAACCATTGTCAATATTGGTAAATCGTTTTAAAAATGTCACAATACACTGTAAAAATTATTGTTTGAAGTTGCAAATAAAACAACTGGAGTACGTTTAACATTTTTTTTTTTTTTTTTACAGTCTTTTACTTAAAAAAATACATTTAATTCAATGTGTTCCTGTGTCGCTTCTTTGTCGTTAGTCCCATCTGGGAAATTTACCTGTAATGCCTGAGTGAAATTTCTCCATTATTTATTTTTTAGTGGAGAATGATTAAATGTAAAATACAGTCTGTTACACTTTCATTATTTACCCTCATTTGTAAGTCATTTTGGATAAAAGCGTCTGCTAAATGATTAAATGTAATTTTTCTTTATACAGTTATGAAAAATGCTGCTGTAACACTGAAAATGGTTTAGAAAATTTTACTCAGAAATAGCTACATTTCACTTATAAGAAACGGCAAGTAACATTTATTAAAAGGTGCAATATTTAAGTAGAAAGACTAGTAGTATTTTCTTATAAAACGTACTTCCATAACTTCTAAAAAAAACTTTACAATAACGAGAATGTGGTTTTCGAAGCTTTTTGTTTCATTTTTATTATTACGTCTTATAGACAATAAACGTATCACTTATAACATTCACATTGTTAGAGATTCACTTTTGTTATTATACTGTTCCACACTCGGAATACATCAGGTGTGCTCATTAAATGTCTAATAAGTGAGTAGGGTCTCAGGAGTATAAGGCAGTCTCCATGCTCAAATAGTCCAGAACCCTCAACGGGGATTTAGACGCACAAATCACCCAATACATGCGCAAAAACGCACCTAGATGACCTCGTGTCCACTGGTTTTGTGTGGTTGGGCTTTTGGTTTCTTTACGGTAAGGTGGACCTGCACTGTCAGCACAGACAGATGTCAGGTGATCCACCGACTATTGCGCGTAGGTTGGACTGTAAGAACACACAAAATGACATTTTGTAAATACAAGAGCATCATTTTGGGATTACGCATGGCTGGGAAATGCACCGTGTGCTATCAGCTCATGTGATGATGCGCTAAATCACTGGCAATAGAGCGTTTGTTGTGTATTTATGATCAAATATCAGCAGTGAGCGCCTGGCCACATCATGGGGCTGTGTTACAGTCTGCGTCCCCGCTTGTTTGGGGACCTCAGTGGATCCGTTTCCAGCACCAACTCGGAGTCAGATTACCAGCCTCCGGATCCCGGGATGATGATGATGCCTTCATGCGTCCGGGGCTCCAGGCAGCACGACGAGGACTCTGGGGGGAACAGCGGGAAGACATCATCCACCTCCCCTTTACGCGCCGGGGACGCCGGCAAGATCCCGGCCGGGGAGCTCCGCCGTGGCGACGCGGACAGAGCGCTCATCCAGAACGGAGGAGGAGGAAAGAGGAGGCTGCAGCTGCTCCAGACTCCCAGCAGCGCCCAGAAACACAAGAACTGGGACAAACTGGTGGTGGAGGAGGAGGCCGAGAAGGAGGCCAAGAAAGTCAGTAAGAACATTGACAGGGCCTTGAAGGAACTCAAACAGGAATATAAACTGACGCATCGGCTGCTGCTCTTAGGTGGGTGATGCTGCCGTGCCTACTGTATGGTGGCTTTCTTCCTCTTCTTCTTATCATTGCCTTATTATTAAAAATGGGTCATATAGCCGTGCTCAAATGTATGCTAGCATATGCTTGGAAGGTGAATATTTATATATTCTCAGTACATTCATAACGCCTCATACTCCACTTTTAGAGACTAATCAATGATTATTTTAATGACCGATACCGATTATTTTAATGATAAAATTTTTATACATACCAATATGCTGGTTTTATTTCTGCTTTTGACACATAACTAAATAATTATTAGACTACAACAATAAAAACATTATGAATTATGGATATTTTCATAACAGTAAATAGGGCTGGACGATATGGCCTAAATTTATATCACGATATATTTCTTAATTTCGGTCGATATGATATAATTCCGATATCGATATGAACACTATTAAAAAAGCCTCATAAAAACTGCCAAGAACGGCCACAACAGATGTCTGTACCTACAAACTTATGAAAAATTAATTTGCCAAGTCTATGAAACCTACTCCTATAAAACTATATAATATTTTAGGGGGAAAAAATGACGCAAATAAATAAATGTTCACCTTTTATTTGTATTTAGCCTTCATACAAACAAGAAATGTCAAATCCCTGTCAAATAAACATCTCAGACTCACCTTATTAATATTAATATTAATATATTTAACTTCAAACTATAGGCTAACATACACTACCAGTCAAAAGTTTTTGAACAGTAAGATTTTTAATGTTTTTTAAAGAATTCTCGTGCTCACCAAGCCTGCATTTATTTGATCCAAAATACAGCAAAAACAGTAACATTCTGAAATATTTAAAATAACTGCTTTCTATTTTAAAATATTTTAAAATATAATTTATTCCTGTGATTTCAAAGCTGAATTTTCGCATCATTACTCCAGTCACATGATCCTTCAGAAATCATTCTAATATTCTGATTTGCTGCTCAAAAAACATT